GGCACACAGCCAGCACTTCAGAGTCTCTACCACACTTATTATGTTTGTGTTGAAGCTGATTCTTCTGTCTGTCCAGGTTATAGGCTTTTCTCTTGCTGTTTTTCAGTTGTTTGTTCTGGGTAATTTCTCCACAATTTAGTTATAATTCCAGATTTGTCCTGGGAGGAAGAAGTGTGGCTTCTACTCATAATCTCTCTTTTTTGTTACTTCTTTAGTTGTTTGAAGAACATTAAAAATAATAAATAGAGTTATGGAAAGGTCAACCTTCTTTCTAATACACATTGAAAACTCAACCATTTCTGGGCTGGTGACACCTCCTCTGACTCACTGCAGCCCTGTTAAGAAGGGCAGAGAAAGCTTGTGAGTTGAAAATTTTTTAGTCAGTCACATTTTGAACATATTTAGAAATAACTGTAAGTGAAATAACATTTGTCCAAAAAATCTTAATCAAGTTTCCCAAATCAAAGGAGACACCCCTGCCTTCATCGTGAGGCCAGTTTCAGCCTAAGGCTGTATTGCTTTTGAATTCAGGTTAATATCAAAATCAACCTGAATGAATTTTTTGATTAATGACTTGAGTACCAAGAATCTAGAAACTGTGTTCACAGGGATAAGAAAATATAGGGCCTGATTAACTGTTGCTTATATTAGCTCTTCCCAGAAATTTGAGTATGAAGTGTTTCTTCACAGTATTACTAAATATCAAGGTCAAAGCAGAGGAAACAGAGGTCTAGGCACCATAGGAAGAGTCAGGACTAGCACCTATGTCTCATGGCTCTCAGTCACTAGTCCTCACTTAAAACATGATTCCATTACTCAGTCTACACTTTGTATTATCTGTAACAATGGTTTTTGTTTTGTTTCTGTAGTTTTTTTACTACACTTTGTATTATCTGTAACAATGGTTTTTGTTTTGTTTCTGTAGTTTTTTTAATACAGGATAGATGTTTAAAAATATTCACTGCCTGACTCAAAAGCTTTGAAATCAAAGTCATGAGACAGTGATTTGGGGATGCTAAGTGCTCTGGAAGAAGTATTCAAGTAATTAGTAATGCTGAAAATGCCTTATGACAAAAAATCTATGCAGTGAGTTCTGATGTGCTTTGGGACATGAAGTCTGTGCTCTCACTGTCCTGCAAACCCTCCACAGCAACCCGGGCTTCTTTACTCTCCAGCATTGCACTGGGCATTCTGGCTGCCCTTCCTCTAAGTATTGCTGGAGCAGGAGCAACCAAACAGTTAATGACATAAGTCATGTTTCTTGACTAGGAAGACTAATGGGTGAAGTTAGTGACCTAGTTTCTCTTCCTTTTCTTTCTTTCTTTCTTTCTTTCTTTCTTTCTTTCTTTCTTTCTTTCTTTCTTTCTTTCTTTCTTTCTTTCTTCCTTCCTTCCTTCCTTCCTTCCTTCCTTCCTTCCTTCCTTCCTTCCTTCCTTCCTTCTCTCTCTCTCTCTCTCTCTCTCTCTCTCTCTCTCTCTCTCTCTCTCTCTCTCTCTCTTTCTCTCTTTCTTCTTTCTTTCTTTCTTTCTTTCTTTCTTTCTTTCTTTCTTTCTTTCTTTCTTTCTTTCTTTCTTTCTTTCTTTCTTTCTTTCTTTCTTTCTTTCTTTCTTTCTTTCTTTCTCCCTGTACCTGTTCAATTTTCCCAGCACCAGCTATTGAAGAGATTCTCTTCACTTCATTATATGCTCTTGTCTCCTTTGTCAACTATTGACCATAAAGGTGTGGATTGATTTCTGAGCTCTCTGTTCTCTTCCATTGACCTATATGCTTATTCTCACACCAGTACAAAGCTGTTTTGATTACAGTGGTCTTGCACTATATTTGGTATTGTGACCCCTCTAACTTTGTTCTTCTTTCTCTAGATTGCTGAGGTATTCTGGTCTTTTAGGTACCATATAAATGTTTGAAATATTTGTTCTAGGTCTGTGAAATATGACATTGGTATTTTATTAGGAGTTGCATTAAATCTATAGATTGCTTTGGGTACAATATGGTGGTGATTGCTAGAGAGAATGTGGTACAGGGGCTATGTGGAGGCAGGCAAGGGGAAGGGGGGAAGGGGGCATTTGTAACAGTGTCAACACTAAAATTAAAGAAAAAAGGGACTTCCACCAAGATGGAGGTGTAGGTGGAAGCATTGTGCCTTTTCTCACAACCAAGTTTAAAAACAACAAAGTTTCAGCAACAAAAAAATGCAGCCAAACCACAGAAAAATTGAACTATCGGAAGTCTGACAACAATGAACCCTTCAGCCAAACCAGTGAGAAGGGCGGAGCCAGCAGCAGAGCGGGGGTCGGGCAGGAAAGATCCACCAGACCACCTGGGTGCCTGACCCAGGCACACAGGCTGTGGGTGGATCCCAGGTGTGGAGTAGCAGCGAGCGGACCCACTGAGGGTGCAAGGCGGCGGATTCACTGAGGGCACACATTTGCAGTCACAGATAACCACTGAAGGAGCAAGCAGTGAGACAGACCGTGTAGGCCCCAGAGGCAGGAAGCAGCAGAGGGAACCGCCACTGTCCCTCTCTGATCCCACCCCCACATACAGCATCACAAACCAGTGACCTGGGTGACTCCACCCTGGTAAACACCTAAGGTTCTGCTCCTCATACATAACAGGCACAAACAGAGCAAAACATTATGGCTCAAGAAGAACAGCTCAAAGCCCCAGAGCCGATCAATCTAAGCAATGAAGAAATAGCCAAACTTTCAGATGCACAGTTCAAAACACTGGTGATCAGGATGCTCACAGAACTGGTTGATTTTAGTCACCAATTAGAGGAACATATGAAGGCTAAACTAATTGAAATGAAGAAAAATGCACAGGAAACCAATAGTGATGGAAAGGACACTGGGACTCAAATCAAAGGAGTGGACCAGAAGGAAGAAAAAAATGACCAAACAGAAAAGGATGAAGAAACAAGAATTCAAAAAAATGAGGAGAGGCTTAGGAACCTCCGGGACATCTTTAAACGTTCCAACATCCAAATTATAGGGGTACCAGAAGGGGAAGAGGAACAGCCACCAGTGGAAAATTTATTTGAACAAATAATTAAGAAGAACTTCCCCTATCTGGCAAAGGAACTAGACTTCCAGAAAATCCAGGAATCTCAGAGAGTCCCAGAGAAGTTGGACCCAAGAAGGAATACACCAAGGCACATCATAATTACATTAGCCAAGATTAAAATGAAGGAGAGAATCCTGGAAGCAGCAAGAGATAAGGGGACAGTCACCTACAAAGGAGTTCCCAGCAGACTGTCAGCAGATTTCTCAAAAGAGACCTTACAGGCAAGAAGGGGCTGGAAAGAAGTATTCCAAGTCATGAAATCCAAAGACCTACGTCCAAGACTGATCTATCCAGCAAAACTTTCATTTAGAATGGAAGGGCAGATAAAGTGCTTCTCAGATAAGATCAAATTCAAGGAGTTCATCATCACCAAGCCTTTATTATATGAAATATTAAAGGGACTTATCTAAGAAAAAGAAGAAAAAAAAGATGAACAGTGAAAGGATAGCAAACTCACAGTTATTAACAACCACACCTAAAACAAAAGCAAACTAAGAGGACAGCTAGATCAGAAGCAGAATCATAGAAATGAAGATCACATGGAGGGTTAGCAACAGGGGAGTGGGAGAAGGAGAAGTGGGGAGAAGGTACAGAGAATAAGTAGCATAGATGGTAGGTAGAAAATAGATAGGGGGGAGGGCAGGAATTGTATGGGAAATATAGAATCTAAAGAACTTGAGACAAGTGGTCATAAACTAAAGGGGGGGAATAGTGCAGGAGGGGGTTTGCAGGGTGGAGGGGAATGAAGGGAGGAATAGAACAACTGTAATGGCATAATCAATAAAATATATTAAAAATAAATAAATAAAATAAAAATAATTCAGTACAAAAAAAAGAAAAAAAATTAAAAAAGAGACGAATGGGTGAAGCATGTTTTATATACCCTTGATAAAGTAGATTCATTTTCCTACCCTTCAAAGTCTAACCTCCAATAAATTCCACCTGGGTTATACTAATTCAGACCGCTCAATACAAGGAAAAATGAAACCAAGTACATAATACAGATGTATACATGCCTGCAAAAAACCTCACTGCCTAAAAGCTGAAAGCTTTGTGGCATTAAATATATTTTAACACTTGTTGATTAGGTGAGGAAAGGATATTAAAAGTTCTGGCTAAAATAGTATGTGTGTCTGTGTATCTATTTAGTTTATTTTTAGAGTGGAAGGGGGAGAGAAACATTGATTTGTTGTTCTGCTTATTAATGTATTCACTGGTTGATTCTTGTATTTGTCCTGACCAGGGATCAAACCCACAGCCTTAGTGTATCAGGAGAATGTTGTTACCAACTGAGCTACTCAGCCAGGGCTGTGTATTTATTTTAAACAAATTAATACCAAAATGAATTAGTGGCCTAAAAATTGGAATTTCCAACATTCTCTTATTATTCATAATTTCATGTATCATAAAAAGTCCCTGAACTTAAATTGTTGAAAAGTAGGTACCATTATCATTACTCTAAGCCAAGGCTGTCAAGCTCATTTTCACTGGGGGCCACATCAGCCCCATGGTTGCCTTCAAAGGGCCAAATGTGATTTTAGGACTGTATAAATGTAACTACTCCTTAATAGTTAAGCGAGAGCTGGGTGCTGCTGCCAGGTAGAAATAAAGTGCCGGGCCAGATAAAAGAAGGTGGAGGGCCGGATTCGGCTCATGGGCCTTGTGTTTGCCACCTGTGTGCTAAGCAGTCACCAAATGCCATCAGTGTCTTAATCTTCAATTACATTTTCTTGATCTTTCAAGCTATAACAAGGCAAATACTGGCCCTGGCATCTAGGATATAGTATATGAGTGTATTTTAAACTATTCAGATATCACTGCTACCTCACAGTGAATACAACTCTTATTTTTTCAGGATTGTCAATAACTTCCAGGGACATGATCATACTTATCTGATACTTGTAAGGCCAACACAACAGTCTGATCACAGGTTAGATAAGAACTAAAATGCCAGAATGGAGGGACAGTCACAGGTAGTATGGTGAGTAAAAAGTCCTTAATCTCATTTTCCATTTTTAATTTTACCGAGAAACTATCCATTATATTAAAGTCACTCATTTGCTAAAAATATACAAGCTGGAAGTCATTTATAATGTTCCTCAATAAAGTAGCTCATTCTTTAGGCAAGTAAGTGTGTATTTATGTTTTCCTGGGGGCAAATAGGCATAGGTTTCCAAACTGTGTCAAAGTATTGCCCCTCCCCACATGACACTTTACCAGAGAGTTCCCAGAGTTACTATGAACACAATTCACTAAACTAGATCAAACTGCTTTTACCCCTTACCCTCATCGTGGGGTTTGGCTTAAATCAGAGTTCATGACAGAACATACCACCCATCCATTTTAAGGTCTTCATAGACTAAGAATGTTTCAAGGGAAAGGAAGAGTTACAGAAATAGCACATACATTCTGTAAGGTTGTGGCTGCAACATTAAATGGTCTTACGTGCTCAAGAAAGGCAGGAGTGTGCAGCCATTGGAGACTCGGGAACACTGGGTAAGGCCTGAGCCCAGACCTTAGAGGTCACTATTCTCCACCATTAGTGTGCATCACAAACATGCATGGAACTGGTTAAAAATAGAAATATCCAGACCTACTGAATCAAAATTCAAGATTACTGTTGTAGAAGAATTTAAAAACCCATTCCTATGTCAAGCTTGATGCTGTTTTGCCACAAGCCAGTGCTTCGCAGAGTTCCCAAACACTAAAAACAAGACCAAGCATAAGCCCTGTTAGAGCCATTTGTTCTGGAAAACACTGTCCTGTATCAAACACCCTTCTATAAACAAGTTGGCCATGATGCTTTAGAGAGACCAGATGGGAGTTTTGTACAGTGAGTGACAGGGTTTTCCTTCCAGGGTTTCCATCTATTCAGACCACAAGGAAAATAAATGCTTTGTAAGAGAGCTATGCTTTCACCAAAAGCTGGTTGATTATCATTTATAGAGAGATAGCTTGAAGATTCTGTTTGTGTCTACAACTGTAGCTTTGATATTTCAATAGTCAGTCCTTCAACTGTAGAATCATTTTCTCCTGGTCAGTACCAGGGATTTTAAGAACCGGAGAGAAACTGGCACATGTTTTCATTCATTAGGACAAGAAAGACTGGGGTAGTCCTACATCTAACCACTCGGAATCTCAGCAGCCGCACCTACCTGGGCCCTTGCCAGCCTGCACTTCACTGGCCAGCTCTGTCTGTGGGTCCCACATGGGTGAGCCATCAGGACAGAGCATCATGTACCCTGTCCAGCTGTACTCTCGCTCCTGAGCTCTAACAGCTCTATGACATGGGGCATGTTAGTTACCTTTTCCAAGCCTGTTTCCTCACCTGCAAAGTGAGGTTGAAAACATTTATTGGGTTGTTACACAAATTAGGTAAGTCCCATATGGTGCACAGTGTGGTGCCAGGCACAAGGTTAGCACTCAGTGAATGGCAGGGATGCTTTTGATGACCACCCTGCATCCATGTGAGTCAGTATCTAACTGCTCAAAGTCCACATATGTGCTGGCAGTCACAGTGTTGCCACAGCCCGTGTGTGGTTCTCTCTCCTAGACTTTTCCCCCACATTACATAAATCAGACAGTTTATTATTTTATACTAAGGTGTGTAACTTTTACCATGGACACTGAAATACCTATGTCAGAATATAGTTTATTTTTTCTAAAGGCAGTTACACAGAAAAACAGGGTATTATCAGGTTATCTGTCAAATATAGTACCCAAAGGGAAGCTAATCTTAAGGCCCACATCTCACCTAGGGAGCTGTGCACACCTTCCCACTACAGGAACAGCCCAGGCCCCAGTGTTCTTTGACTCTTCCATCCCTATGTGGCCCTGGGCAGGCAGTGCAACCTGGGCTTGCTCTTACTAATGTAGCCTCACTTGTTGGCTTCGAGGGAATGAATGAATATGCTTACCCCTGTGTCTCTCTCCAGAAACTTTACATCATGCAGCTCTGAATTTGAGACAGTAATTTAAGGAAACAGATGGCATAATTAATTACTAACCAAAGGTAACTCTATCTCAAAAAAGAAAATGGTAACAGAGATTGCCCTGAGGGCAACTGGGGAATTGGAGCCAGGGATGGGAGATTGACTTTTCACTATATACCACTTTATCTTTTGAATTTTGAACATCAAAAGTATTTCTAGCATATTAATATTTGAAAAGTTATAAGACATAATTTATATTTTTGAAAGTTATGCCTCAGCATAGAGAATATTGTAATGAGGACTTATCAGGATGATTGCTCTGTAAGGCATATAAGTGTCTGATCACTATGTTGTACACCTGAAGGTAGTATGTCATTTGTCAAAAAACTTTTGACTTATAGGCAAGGAGTATGGGGGCTTATAATTCATGACTTTATGCAGGTCACTATTTCATTTACATGAGCATATTATAATCCAGTGAGTTTTGCTTAATCAATCCAATTGTCACATGAACAAAGAGAGACACATAAATAACTCCAATAATGATACTAATATATAAATACAGTGTTTCAGTTGGGAATAACAGAAGAGTTTTGGAGGTGAAGGGCAGTTGATGGTCACACAATAATGTTAATGAATGTCCCTAATGCCACTAACCTCTACTTGTAAGTGGTTAAAATGAAACTCAAAACCCATTAGGCAATTCTTTTTTTGTGGTGTATTTCAGTTTTGCAAGGTGAGAAAGTTTTGGAGATTTGCTTCACAATGCGAATGTACTTCATACTACTAAACTGTACCCTTTAAACAACTGGTAAAGATGGCGAATTTCATGTATTTTTTTACCACAATATTTTAACAAACCTTTTGAAAGTGGTTAAAATGGTAAATTGTATGTTATGAACATTTTACCACCACTTGTAAAAAGTTCTTTGTGACCTGTGGAGATGGAAATCAGATGAGTGGTTGTCTGGCCCTGGGACAGAGGGAGTGAGGGGCAGTCACTGCTGGTGGGCATCAGGTTTCTTGGGGGTGATGAAAATTTCTAAAACTGGACTGTGGTGATGGTTGAGCAACTCCGAATATGCTACTAAAATCATTGAATTATAAACTTTAAATGGGTAAATTGTATCATATGTAATCTCTAGCTCAATAGTTTTTTAAACCAACAAACAAGTTTTGTCTTACCTGTGAGGGCTGGGGAGCTTGTGCAGTCTCCGCCATGTGCCCCCAGCTGGAAGGGTATGGAAGCATGGGAGGGGGCAGAAAAGGAAGGGAATCTTCTGGGTTCAGGATTATTCAGGTTTTGACTGGTTTCTGCACAAGGTAACCAAAGGAATTCCTATTATAGATTTGGCACAGGGCTTTCTCTCTAACTCTCGTCTACTGCCCAGGGAAAGTAAAGGCCTGAATTTGTAAAAGAATGGGGCAAATGCAGTGTGCATGGGTGTGTGTCATTTAATAACCCACTCTGGCTCACCCTTCAATGCTGTTTTTCAAAATATTATCACAATAAGGAAAGATTTGTAAAAAACTCTGTGTCCTCTTAAAAATTGACTGGCTTAGAAATAACAAAGGTTGCATTTTTATTTGATCAAGTACAGTCTGGTATTACAAAGCAGTTAGTTTTCTCCTTTTAGTCATCATTTTCCATCCCTGATGGAATTGTGTGTGCATAAAGAGAACAGCCCTGGAAAAAAATCTTAAATCTCATTATACAGTAGCCCATGGCAAAATGGGGTTTTGAGAAACATATAGTGTTAAAAAATACATCTGGAAATGTGAAATCTATTAATATGAAATGCACTTATGGGGAAGTGAATTTATATAGAAAAAAGCTACACATAAAGCATAAAGACAGATATGCCAAGCTTACGCAGTTCAGAATCAGGCCTTTGTGTCTGGGGTGGCATTAGAAAAGAGGCACATTTAAGTTTCTGAGCATCTTGACCTACTGCCATGAAACAATGCCAACTGGCAACAGCTCTGCTTGTCTCAGGTATGTCCCAGCTGCTTCAATGATTTTGATGCACTCCAGATGAACACCGTGTTGGTGTCACAAGTCCTCACTGTGTATCTGAAGGTGTCCTTTGGGTGCATAGGAAACATCAAGTACAGAGCAGAAGGGCGTATGCAGAAAACTGAGAAGAGTGGTTACTGAGGTGACATGGTCTCAGTTTCAGGCAGGCGTGGTGCTCTTACATGTCCAAATACCAAGAAGTTCATTCCCTTTATTTTCCGATTTTGAATGATTTAGAATCATGAACTACCTAGATAATATGACAAGGTGGCATAATCCCATGATCCAGAATCAGTGGTTTCTATACCAAAAGTCCTGATTCTGAAAATTTTACAATTAAAAACCCCACAAAGACTGCTCTGGATTCTACATTTTACTAGATGTACGATATCCATGCAGCTTCCAACTTTCTGCTTGCTGTGTTCAACAAGTTTGTGGGCAGCACCTATAGAGGCTGATTGGAGAGTTGTAAAAGCATGTTATTTTGGTAGCAAGAGCTTTGGTGTCAGGGACAAACTGCATGAGCAGGAATTCAGTTCTGATGCCCCTTTGAGAGCTCAGCCGAAGCCCCAGGCCTCACAGCTGTCCCCATCATCCGGAGCAGGGTCAGCACTCACCTCTCTGGGTGATAACCACCACCAGTTGCCTGCACACCTTTCTCCCAGAACTGCTTTGTTCAATATTGATGGTCATGCTTCACAGAAGCCTGAACCATCTCAGCCCCAGAGGTTGAATGTGCACTAGTTATCCAGTGCTTTGAGTTCCATTCTGCTTGCGGGTGACTGGCTATGATGAAAAGCTAACTAGTAAGACTCAGAGATGTGCTGGTGCAGGTCCCCTGAACCAGTTGTCCTTCCTTTTAAAACAGGACAAAAGGACAAGATGCTTGCTGTCTCCTCACTGGTGCCTGCAGTTATGATGAAAATATTAGCATTGGAAGACCCAGCCTAAACAGGGAGTGGGATAGGAAGGACCTGGTCATAATGCCATTAATTTATTACATTAAGCAACCTTAGGATTTCCTACCTCTGGACTTATGTGGTGAGGTAATAAAATGTTCTTATTTCTAAAGCACTGGGGAGTAGGGGAACATCTGCTATTTCTGGCCCCAAGTAATCAGACACAATCCTCTTCCCTGAAATGACCACCCATTCTATAGAGTGGAGTACACAAATGCAGGCACACACACACTCTTTTACTAAAGAGTTTACACTGTTTTACTCTTTTACAATCTTTTACTAAAACTGTGGTGTGAGCATGAACTTTACCCCTCATCTCCTAAATTCAAGCCCCTGGGAGTGGAGTGCATGTCTGGATTCCCTGTCTGCTTGCCCTCTTCCCCAGCATGATCACATCAAGGTCCAGTTCAGAATCTGCCTCCTACAGGATCAGTCTCTTATGAAGTCCCTGCCTGAAGCTTTCTCCGATTCTAACACACAGCATCTACTGCCTCTAATCTGCCTCCATGCTGTCTGCTGCTTCCTGAGTCTGCTCGGTGTCCACCACTGGGCACGTATTTGGTTTAGTGACTGACTGAACAGAAGACTGAGTGCAAAGCACCATATCCCTTCACCTGAAACTTGGGGTTTCCCTTTGCTCTTTTTGTTCTTGTCTTCTTTCCTTATCTTACTTCACTGTAAAGACAAAAACTGAGATAAAAGAAATTCAGAACTCAGGTTCTGAAGGAAGAATATGAATTTCTAAACAAAACTCCAAGTGGTATGCCCGGCCTCTGGGAGTTACAAATAAGCGACAGAATTACAAAATGGGGGAATAACTGCTAGGATTATATCCTAAGAATCATAAAACATCAATTTCAAAGAACCTATGCACCACAATGTTCATAGCAGCCCAATTTACAATAGCCAAGAGTTGGAAGCAACCTAGGTGCCTGTCAGTAAATGAATGGATCAAAAAATTGTACTGCATATACACAATGGAATTCTATGCAGCAGAGAGAAAGAAGGAGCTCCTACCCTTGCAACATGGATGGAACTGGAAAGCATAATGCTGAGTGAAATAGGCCAGGTGCTGAAAGACAAATACCATATGATCTCACCTTTAACAGGAAGCTAAACAACAAAACAAACAAGCAAGCAGAATAAAAACAAAGACACTGAAGTAGAGAACAAGGGGACAGTGACCAGAGGGGAGAGGGAAGGGAATTTAAGGGGAAAAAAGGGGGAGGGATTTGGAGAAACAAATAGGAAGGACACAGGGACAAGAACTAAGGGGGGTGGAAATGGGACGGAGGTGGGGAGCATGGGGCGGGGTGGGCTGGGATGGGAGAAATAGACAGAAAACTGTACTTGAAAAATAACTAAATAAAATTAAAAAATGGGGGAATAGCAGTTAGATGCTATATAAGTGACCTCCTGTTGCTGTACCTCCCATAAACATTGACCATTTCCACTACTGAAACTAGGGCTGGGATGGAGGCATCCTCAACAAATCACAAGTTAGGGCAGAAAATACATTACAGTCTAGCACAGAGTAGGCCTTCAACAAAGGTCTCATGAGTGAAGGAGAGAAGACACAGCATCATATGGTTAGGGTTTTGGGCTTATACCTTGGAGCTTTTTTATTGTAAACATAGAGTAAAATGTGGATACCAGTAATCATGCTGCTGTCTCAATGTAATGAACTTCATCTAAAGGTGTGACACAAAAAACATTTGATATAAGGTCAACTTCAAGATGTTTTGAAGTGGAAAATAAAATCTTGAGTTGTTTTTCCTCCAAAATTCCCACACAGATTTCCAGACCATGTGCAGAAAGGCCTATTGCACCACACAAGCTGAATTTCTCATAGTGGCTTTTCTGTGTAAAAGGTCTGGGGCATCCTTCTGGTGAGAGGGCAGAGCATTTCCAGAAATCAAACCCCGTGTGCAAAGAAGCTCACGTACCCTTGAAGGTATGTAAATGCCATTCTAACTATAACTTTCAATTCATTCCAGGTACTAACAACTTGTAACTTTCATTGTGTAGTATCAAACTAACACTAGAGGTTCTGTGAGATATTTTCTATTACACAAGAATAAAAACTGTAGAAATTGTTCAGATAGTTAAATGACCACCAAACACTACAAGCGTAACCAACATGGTTCTATTAAAAATGCTCTCCGACTATGGCATTCAAGGACAGCAATACAATGTTTTCTTTACAAAGCACTAATGTAAAAATGTACAAATGGCATAAATTCATTACAGGCTATTTTTTTCATATAGGCATGTTATTAGATTCTTTCAATTATTTCCTGAGGTATTTTTTGTGGTATAGTTTTATTGTACTGCTGGATGCATTCTCTTTGATCATCCTTTCCTAAAATGACTTTTAAAAGACCTGCAGAAAATTTTATTGCATAGCACACTATTCCCAGGACACAGAGATTGGGAAGTGCAAACATGTGGCATTGGAAAAAGTCTTACAAATACTGCATTTTAAGAATTTGATAAATACATTTTTTACAGTTTGTCTCTTTTTAAAAATTGAAGTTACAGCTAAGAGTTATCTACATACAATGAAGCATGTTAGGAATGTTAGACATTAGAGAATATGATGAATGATAGAAAGAAAAAAGCCATAATTCTTGCCGACTACATATTGTATTGCCTTTGAAAGCAACTGTACATGTAATCAGTTCATAGTTAAGTACTACTACTAATCCGTTTTAGGAGAGCAAATGTCTTTCAAGGTTTCAAGTTCCTCTATAAGCCTCTTGTTCTGAACTTCCAGCACTGCAACTCGACTCTCCAGACATTTTACATATTCTTTCTTTCGACGTCGGCATTCTTTAGCAGCTTCCCTGAAAAAAAAAAAGAAGCAAAAGGGCAAACAAAACAATTTTTGCATGCTATTGATTGAACAGACTAAAGTGAGCTTGGTGTATGTGATCACGGTTGCATTCCAAATTTGGAACAACACTCCCCACTCAATTTCAAACACTAAGCCAAACTGGATTCTTAAGGGTTACAAGTGTCCCTTCCATATGTCCAAATGGCAATTAGTAGAATTGCTGCATCTCCTTCCTTGATTTGAGTTCACAGTAAACAAGGTCCAAGTCAAAGACAGTTACTCTGCTTTATGGCAATAAAGATCTTTAAGGGCCTTGAGTTCCTCAATGAGAGTCTTGTTTTGGTTTTCAAGCACAGCCACACAATTTTCAAGACATTTGACATATTCTTTCTTCTTCCTGCGACACTCCCAGGCAGCTTCCCTGGAACCAACACAAGGCAAAAGACTCAGGAACAACCTCCCAGCACAGTCCTGAAGGGCTCTGTGAACTTTGGCCCCTCAAACTCAACAGCCAATCAATCCTAGGTAAGGTCTGCACAAAGCCACACAAAAAATGTTCCCAAGCCCATGCCTTTTTGTAAGGCGACTCTTAAGACAACAGGGATGATTTGGGAGCAGAGTCCATTTGCCCAGTATTCATCGTAAATGGTGTTTTCATAGGGCACACATTCCACAATAACAGTGACCAGAATGGTTTTCAGTAACCTAAAACATTAGAACCACATTTCCAAGTGGAATTTCTACAAAAACATTTATGGATCCTTTTGAATCACTTAGTTATTTTTGTCCACCAAAAGCCCTACATTCCATCATAATGAGTTACCTTTATTTCATCAAGAATAATTACAAAAATTAATCCCCAGAGACCTTAAATATCAATAATAGAGATTTTCATTCTTCAAAACTAAATCACAGTGAAACAAATAAATCAATCAGGACTGCAAGACAGTTGTTGGCTGGGAAACAACATGGATAAATGAGTCATAAATTATGTACATTTTCATAAACCAAAATAAAATGGATTCTGCTTCTGAAAATTAAAGATGGAAAGAAGGGAGGGTACAAAATACAATACTCAATAGTTCAGACAATTTAAATCCACAAATGTGAAAACACCAGGAAAATCATGAAAAGAAAGCTACTTAGTTACTTAAGGCTATTCTCTCATTATAGGCATTTACTATCCAACCTACTGAATTTTAACGCACTGTAGGCATACCCAGAGGAAAGAACAGACCAGCAGCCAAAGCAACAGACACAAGTAAAAATATGAGCCACAGTCATTTTCATGCATCTCCCCATCAAAAGAAACACAATGAATACAGCCAACATTTTCTCTCTCCTTTCTTTCTGGGCCCCAGGGGTTGGTGACAACATCATTTAATTCCTCTATAGATTGTATCCTGCTAACAGTTTTATTTTCGAGTTTTCAATTCAGAATAACTGCCTTGGGGGGTACCCTTCACATCAAAAAATCATACACTGAAAGGTAATTCAGGCCCTAGCTGGGTAGCTCAGTTGGTTGGAGTGGTGTCCTGACACTCCAAGGTTGCAGGTTTAATCCCTGATCAGAGCATATACAAGAATCAACCTATAAATGCATAAAGAAGTGGAACAATAAATCACTGTTTCTCTCTCATCTCTTCTCTCACTCTAAGGTCAATAAACTTAAAAAAAGAATTCAGGTATATTTTATCAAAGGTTGTGTCGAATATCTAAACACCAGTTACAGTAATGCCAATTACCACTGTTGCACATCTGAACTAAGAGTGAGCATACAACAGATCTGGCCAATTCTGTTTTATTTTTAGGATAGTTGACTCTTACCGAAAACTGATTATGTGTTTTTTCCCTGCAGGAAGCAAGAGTCAGCAGAAATAAGGAGATCCTGAAATGCCAATAAACTGCAGAAAAAGATCAACCCCTATTTCCTAACCAAGAACAATGCATTCACCCTGTGAACCCACAAAGTTCTCAGACTTCTCAACTCGTTAACAAAAAAGTAACAATGTATAAGTGAATCGAATCTCATAAGTACCGATTAACTTAATCTAATGATGCATGGGAAAAAGCTCAGAATAAATCCAAGGACACATATAAAACATGCCAGTTTGAGAACAGAATTCAACTATTCTACAAAGGAATAAAATATACATTTAATGAATACCAAGGTTTTCATAATTAAATCATTATATTAAATTCTAGACCTGGAAGGAAGATGGTCATTTTATCAAACAAGTCACCATTAAATGAAATTTTAAATTTTTAATGGCAGTGTTATGGGCTATTTAACTTAAATTTTTTTTACCGAGGTGTACTATGTACTGTAAACATCTATACTTGGTGTTTCACACATGTGCATGTGCTGCTACCAGAGTCGAATGTTCCAAGCACAAAGCTTTAACTGATCACACTAGTAGAAGGCACACTCCTAAGAACTTAACTTCTCAGCTATGGAAAACACCTGTTTCTTCTATTAATAGTTAGAGCTCAGCTTTCAGGCCTTGCTTTTGTCTGGATATATCTTCAGCATGGAGAGAAAATACATGGCAAATGGGAAAAGCTGACAAGGCTGTAAAGAAAGAAAAACTGGCTGGATTGGTAGAAATATAATTAAATATCCATTATAAGTGCTAGACAAAGAATAAAAAGAGGAAAAGGTATAAAAGATCTTTCATGTTATTGAGTGAAACCTACATTCTTTCCATAAAGTTGAATCTGAAGCTCATGCTGAGGTCTTTCAGGGGTGACTCTGGTGTTAGTGTAGTGGGCAGACTCTGGAATAGAGGCTGGCTGGTTGAGTATCCAGGTTCAGTCTAGTTTGCACTGTGCGATATTAACCAACTCATGTAAAGTCTCTGAACCTCAGTTCCTACCTGTAAGGTAAGGATAATAGCCAGACCTATTCTCATATGATAGTTATGTGACAGTTATGCAAACAGTAGAAACAAAGCACTTAAAATGTGCATATGGTGCTCACTCAACAGGTACTGAGCAAGATAATAGACATTCATTTTCTGCTTTTCTCTTGTCTTGCTTCGAAACTGAGATTTGAAAAGCTAAAACACTCTTCTCAGAATTCCTTGAAGGTAGGGATTCTATTAGCTATTTCTAGTCATTGAAATGTGGGTAAAAGTTGCTGGCAGAGCTTTCCAGGGTAAGTTTTTAGAAGGGTCAGACTTAACCAGCCCCCCACTTTAAGCTTCAGTTATTCTCTCCTCTTCCTGATGAAATGACTGGAGGGGAGGCAGCCACACTGCGATCACAGGAACAAATGTAGCACAGGGGAGATGGCAGGGCAGGGAGGAGGAGCCTGGATCCTGGATGACACTGTGGGGCCTTTGTTCTGGCTGCATGTACCTCTGGACCCACAATGTGAGATCAAATAACACCTACACCCTGACCAGCGTGGCTCAGTTGGTTGAGCATCACCCTGCAAAGCAAAAGGTCACTGGTTTGGTTCCCAGTCAGGGCACAAGCCTGGGTTGCAGTCCAGGTCCAAGTTGGGGGGTGTGTGAGAGGCAATGGATTGATGTTTCTCTCACACATCGATGTTTTTCTCCCTCTCTTCCCCCACTCCCTAAAAATAAATAAACAAACAAACAAACAAATAAATAAATAAATAAATAAAATCTTAAAAAAGGTACCACCTGCAAGGTTAAGCCTCCATTCCCTTTAGTTATTTAGAGTCCAAACACAAATGCTATCTAATTATTATTAACAATTTTTAAAATCCCAATATTTTAAAATTTTTCTCTCAGGAAGAGCTCATATGTATGTGTAGGTAGCTATGAGGCACCTTTTATAGGAACCCACTGCCTAATGTTTTATCTATTTCATTTTGGTAGTTCTGACATTTTTTAATCTAAAAATAAAGGTATAAAATGACATCAGGGAGATAACAACACTAAACTTCTAGTTCTTCCTTTTTTATTTTCTTTGGGAAAATAAGACATCAATGAACAATTCTGCATTATCATCACACTTTACATTATAAACTGAACTTCACAATGTATGTTCTGTGACCAGAGAGGCAGTTATATTTGAGCTCCTGGGATCTCTGAAAGTGCAGTTTTAAAGTATCCACAATCCTCCATCTGATCAAAGTTAAGGATCTTCAATGACAGAATCTCCACACACCAACTTTGATACTATGTGAGCCCTTCCCATTCAGCCCCTTCAGACTTTCTGAGCAAAATGCTGATGATGCAAAAGGTGAATCCAGCAGGACTTACAACCTGGAACAACCACGGATAAAGATGTGTGTATCTAATGGTCCTGTTGCCGGTAATCTGTCAAGTTCCACAGGGTACAAAACTCCATCTAGGGATTTGTGATAACTAATAAGCCTGGACACTGTAGCAAACATATGTAGTACTATAATTTATCAAATTGTGACATTTAAAAGGCTATTAGTAAAATGAATATAGCTGCTACTGCTTCATACTCAGTTACAAAGTATAGTGATGAACTTATTTCTGGATTTGAGAGTCTTAGAAGCCACAATTGCTACGTTAACTCAGTTGCTAGTACCTAGTAAAGTAGTATCATGTAGTCCCCATCATAGGCAAACACATGATTCCATCTGAAATGTTTTCTTCTCTTACAACAAGGACATTATTTAAAACTTAAGAAAGTAACAAGACTACTGGGAAAAGACTATTCTTACTCTTTTCATTTTGAAAAGTTGGATTGATTTGTACCATGCTCCCTAATAAAAACTAAACCAAGAAATAATATGCAAATGAGATTGATTGATTTATTTTAAATTCTCACCAGAGGGTATGTTTATTGATTTAGGAGATGCAGGGAGCAAGGAGGACAGAGAGAGAAACAGTGACTGGTTGCCTCCAGTATTTGTGTCCTGACTAGGGATTGAACCCATAACCTTTTGGTGTATGGGACAACACTGCAACCATCTGTGACACCCAGTCAGGGCACAAACTAGATTTAATAAAGAACTTTGAGTCCTGGCTGGTGTAGCTCAATGGACTGAGTGCTGGCCTATGAACCAAAGGGTTGTTGGTTCGATTCCCAATCAGGGCACGTGCCTGGGTTGCAGGCCAGGTCCTCGGTGGGGAGCACATGAGAAGCAACCACACATTGATGTTTCTCTCCCTCTCTTTCTCCTTCCCTTCCCGCTCTATATAAATAAATAAATATTTTTAAAAAAAGAACTTTGGAAAACAGCATTTGTATGATATACTGCTCTTTAAAAAATACAATTATAGCCCTGTCTGGTATGGCTTAGTGGATTGAGTGCAGGCCTATATACCAAAGGGTCACCGATTTAATTTCTAGTCAGGGCACATGCCTGGGCTGCAGGCTGGGACCCAGTAAGAGGTGTGCAAGAGGCAACTATACATTGATTTTCTCCCTCTCTTTCTTCCTCCCTCCCCTCTCTCTAAAAAGAAATTGATAAAATCTTAAAAAATAAAATAAAATTACAGAGGGTGCATGAATAAGTGAGAAAATGAGAGAGACCAGGCTGGAAAGGTATATACAATGATATTAGTAGGTATCTCTAGGTGGTGAAGCTAAGCATAATTTTAATTCTGTTTTTTGTATTTTCACTTGACTAGAATTTATCAGAATAAAGGTGTATTTTGGTACAGTCAATACAAAATGCTAACTGTTTTTCTAAAACACAGTTAGAAAGTAAGTAAAAGAAAACAACGTGTAAAAAATGTAGAAAATTCATAACCCATACTTTATTTTGCTCATAAAGAAGCCAGGAAATTATACTTACCACCTAATTTCACAAAATAAATGCCAAGTACAAAATAAATTTTTATTTGTAATAAAGTCCTCCCATCAGCATTTAAAAAATTAATGTATCTTACAGACATTACCTTTCTAACACCTAGGGATGTACCTCCTGCTGATGAAATAGTTGCATGTCTAGCAGACAGTCTATCATCACATGCAGAGCACAAGCCCAGATAAAATGCCACTTAACACTGAACTTGGGGAAATAGCTTAGGAAAAGTAATTTTTAAAAAGCCCCACAGTTACAAATTATATGTCCTCTAAGTGGTTGCTGATTTCTTGTGAATCATCTTACCTGTTTTTCATCAACCTCAGCTCTCGTTTGCGTGTGGCTTCTTCTGCGAGTTGTTGGGGGCTGTGCAAACTTCCTGGGGAGGCAGCCACCACCACTCCCTGAGGCAAAGCAGTCGGAGGAGCTCGGATCTGGTAGGTTGGCATGTCGCCAGTGGCAGCTGCAATGAAATATTACATGCTTACAAACATTTCTAACTTATAAACATTTTACAACTTGGTATTTTATATAAAATTGACCTGGAAAAGCATACATCTCATGTCTTAAGGGGTAATGTTGCCAACGTTTAAGATGATTATTCTGAGCATTATAGGAATCGTAGGTATTAGAGTGCTTCAGCACTAGGAACAATGATATTTAGCATGCTCTAGACATTTAAGGAAGAAAATTACCCTAATGCATTTTGGGGTAAGTTTTTTTATCAAAGGCTAAAAGTAGAGAGGCTTTTCAACTGAGAGTTTGTTGAGCCTAAAATCAGTGGTGTGCTGATGAAGGTTTAAACACCAGCTCTCCTGGAGCAAGCTGAGATCTGCAGCATGTTGATTCCATGATGTAAACACTTTCACCATGGCCAATTGGAGGCTACCAGTATGACTTCAGTGAATGCAGAATTGGGAAGACATACACAGGAAGTAGCACAGCATGCAGATGAAACAGATGTAAATGACAGCAAGAGCATAGATTAAAAATTATAAAATGATAAATTTTGAATATTAATGTTTTAAGTAACTTATTAAATTTATCTTTAAATTTTTAGTAGCTATTTTAACAACCAGCTCACAAAAATCCTAAAAGTTTAACAATTAGCTCTAGCAAATCAGTGAGAGCTTGTTCCAGCACACCACTGCAGAAATTTTAATTAAGCAAAACACTTCCATCCAGTTAGATTTTCCTATAGCTTATACCCTCACCTAATGT